ACAAATTATACACACAGTACAACAAAAAAGAATGAACGCAACATCATCTGTTTTGTAATCCTTGTTAAAAATAACCAATGTTACATAATGATTCCTAGAATGTTAATTAAGACAAGCAAACAAGGGGAAATAATCAATCTCTAAATATATATATATCTATAAATCTACAAATTTAATAGTAAATGTCACAAAAGAGCAATAATTACTTTAGTATGTAATAAAATATCTAAACGCTACTTTATTTACAAGAATATGTTGTCTAAAATCAGAATTTTATATATATATATATGTTGTCTCTATAAATGCTAAAATATTACAGCATAATGACAGTTTTTTAAATCAGAGATGGCATAAAGTTATTACAATTACCCTTTGCAAACTTAGGTGGAACATTCTAAATAATAGAATACATATAACTAAAATATTGGAACAGTTAAAGTGATTGTGGGGTTATCATGTCTGGGGGTAAAGTGGATAGAGGGGGAGAGAGGAGGGGGTAGATTTTTTTATTTTTTTTATTTTTATTAATTCAATTGTTTTAAACATTTAAATCAGTAATACCGCAACATCAATATCCAGAACGTATTTAAAGTTCTAAATCTTGTCTCTTTCCCCTCATCTTTCACACTGCAACCTTTTGAAAACTCAATGCGACCACTACAACACCCTTTCAACTAGTCAACTTAAGTTGTTTTCCTACATAGAAAATGCTTCACTGTCCCATTGACCCTCTCTGAAAAATTTCCTTTCCTCTCCCCACCCAGACTTCTGACACTTTCATTTGACCTTCACCTCTTTTACTGCCATCCTTTGCAAATTTTTTTTATAATCAAATACATGACATCATGTAAATATTCATTATGTACATTTGCAAAACCTTTCGTTTTCATTTGGTGTTCAAAATTATGTTAAAAAATTTCCTTTCCTCTCCCCACCCAGACTTCTGACACTTTCATTTGACCTTCACCCCTTTTACTGTCATCCTTTGCAAATTTTTTTTATAATCAAATACATGACATCATGTAAATATTCATTATGTACATTTGCAAAACCTTTCGTTTTCATTTGGTGTTCAAAATTATGTTAAAAAATTTGATGTTGATGTACTTGTTTTAATTGCAAATAAAAGTATTTAAAAAAAAAAAAAAAAAAAAAAACTAAAATATTGGTCTTGCATTTCAGATCATTCATTTTTTTAATTAGCTACTAGATTTTTTTGCGTTCTTTAAAGATAATTTTTAACATTATGATAATGTATGGGTTAGATCACTGTATTGATCTCACACCTCTTTAGGGGGATCAACTTCGTTCACTACTGTCCGGTCACTTTAGGTCAATTATCCTACCCAGCGTATACCTAGGTGGGATTTTAATCTCGCTCCACTCACAAGGCCTGTCCTGTTTTAGGTGGTGAGGTGGGGGGGGGGGAACCAACTCAGAGTTCTTTAAATACGTCCCCCTCCCCCCTCCTCGAAGAGATGCCTGGAAGAAACTCTGATTATCCTAGACTACGGACACAGTCCACGAAAATTGCTTACTGTGGTGTTAGTTAAAACCTTTGATAATCACAGACAACGAACTCAGTCCAAAATGTTAACTAAACCCAAACAATTATGTTACAATTAATTGCATTATAGCTAACTTCTTCAGGCTATGGTTGTAGTGAACGAGTGAAGGGGGATGAATGGGGGTGAATGTTGTTGTTACATGGTACCCTACTCCGTTCGTCCTTGTTCAGTTCTCGTGACGTGAGTTGTAATAGTCAGGTTTGTACCAGTTTTTGAAAGGGTATATAAGGTGTATGAAAACGTGTGTGATTACCTCAGTTTCGTCCAGATCTCCAAGGTTAGTATAGGTTAGATCTATACTAATTTTTTGCCGTTGTATCATAGTTTTACTAGCGTGTGTGTTTTGTGTTTAGAATAGACTGTGTTTTGTGTAGATAGTGTAGCTAATATTATTTTTTTTAGTCTCAACGAGCCTTTGTTTCATTCAGTCTTATTTTGTAACTCGTTTGTTGATGTTTTATAGATCTATGTTGCGCTACGCAACGGATCACCCGAAAGGCATGTCTGTGTGTTCACAATAATTTAATATGTAGGCCTATTTACAACGCTGTTTTTCATTAGTTCATTATCAATTGGGGTAATTCTCATTACGTTATGCATTACATTTTCCTTTGCACTAAATTAAATAAAATATTTTTTAATAATGAATCAAATGCAGTTTCATCAAATTTATTTAGAACAATCTGAAAATGAATTAAGATTACCTCATGATCGAAATTAGGTCTATGTCTGGAACTTTGATGAGTGGTGGACTGTGTGACATAGATTTGTGCAGTTTTCTTGTAAGAGACTAAATCATCTTTGAGAGCCATGTTAACAGGACGCCCTGTATCTTAACTGTACCTGCATGTTACAAGAAATGTTGGCTGTCTAGTATCTGCAAGCATCTGTATCTTAACTGTACCTGCATGTTACAATAAATGTTGACTGTCTGGTATCTGCCAGCACCTGTCTCAGTTGGACTGTTAACATCCATCTCTACCTTATTATTGTCCATCTATGTCATCTTGTACTACCTTATTATTGTCCATCTATGTCATCTTGTACTACCTTATTATTGTCCATCTATGTCATCTTGTACTACCTTATTATTGTCCATCTATGTCATCTTGTACTACCCTATTATTGTCCATCTATGTCATCTTGTACTACCTTATTATTGTCCATCTATGTCATCTTGTACTACCTTATTATTGTCCATCTATGTCATCTTGTACTACCTTATTATTGTCCATCTATGTCATCTTGTACTACCTTATTATTGTCCATCTATGTCATCTTGTACTACCTTATTATTGTCTATCTATGTCATCTTGTACTACCTTATTATTGTCAATCTATGTCATCTTGTACTACCTTATTATTGTCCATCTATGTCATCTTGTACTACCCTATTATTGTCCATCTATGTCATCTTGTACTACCTTATTATTGTCCATCTATGTCATCTTGTACTACCTTATTATTGTCCATCTATGTCATCTTGTACTACCTTATTATTGTCCATCTATGTCATCTTGTACTACCTTATTATTGTCCACCTATGTCATCTTGTACTACCTTATTATTGTCCATCTATGTCATCTTGTACTACCTTATTATTGTCCATCTATGTCATCTTGTACTACCTTATTATTGTCCATCTATGTCATCTTGTGCTACCTTATTATTGTCCATCTATGTCATCTTGTGCTACCTTATTATTGTCCATCTATGTTATCTTGTACTACCTTATTATTTTCCATCTATGTCATCTTGTACTACCTTATTATTGCATGTTTTATTCTTACTTTACACTCTAAGGGTAAAATAATATGATTCAGTTAGCAAAACTTTATTGCAAATGACACATTTTTTCACTACTTGAATGCCGAGATACAACTAGTTAAGCTAGACCTGAATGTGGTTAGTGTAGAGATAAAACTAGTTAAGCTAGACCTAAATGTGGTGTAGTGTGTATATACAACTAGTTAAGCTAGACCTAAATGTGGTGTAGTGTGGAGATACAACTAGTTAAGCTAGACCTGAATGTGCTGTAGTGTGGAGATACAACTAGTTAAGCTAGACCTAAATGTGGTGTAGTGTGGAGATACAACTAGTTAAGCTAGACCTAAATGTGGTGTAGTGTGGAGATACAACTAGTTAAGCTAGACCTAAATGTGGTGTAGTGTGGAGATACAACTAGTTAAGCTAGACCTAAATGTGGTGTAGTGTGGAGATACAACTAGTTAAGCTAGACCTAAATGTGGTGTAGTGTGGAGATACAACTAGTTAAGCTAGACCTAAATGTGGTGTAGTGTGGAGATACAACTAGTTAAGCTAGACCTAAATGTGGTGTAGTGTGGAGATACAACTAGTTAAGCTAGACCTAAATGTGGTGTAGTGTGGAGGAGTTCTTTGGAAGATTTCTGGAGGGGGCTTTTCGAAATTATTTCTTTTATTGCCATGCCCCATCTTTACTAATCTGTGATGCACAGTTAAAAATGTCGCCATCCACACTTGCACACTTTTGTATGCTAACTCTTCTTCTTCTTCGTTCTCAATTTTTAGTGTTGGAAGGGATCGAGCCTTTATCTGCCAGAGGGTTTGAACTCGAGACTTTTTCGAATTTAACAACCATGAGCTTTGCCGACTCGACCACGCCTCCATCACAATTAATGATACGTGTCAATTAGCCCTTGTCCAACCAAGAACAAACTACAAGGCAGCAGTTGTTTGATTTTGGAGTTGTCCCTCCTAGATGAGTGGCTGTCCTCAGCTAACGAGCCTCATCTGCCCGAGGGTTCGAACTCGATACTTTTCGGTTTAGCAACCATGAGCTTTACCGACTTGACCACGCCGACCCCTAACAAAACATGCAGACTTATATTATGCTGTCCTCACTTAATACATTTCATATGCTACCCACACATGAATACGTGTATAAGCTCTCCACATTTACTGACGAATCCTATTGCCCTAAGTTTTGAAATGTTGAATGTGGTGTTACCCTCCCTTCTCCAATGGCACAGAACACGTATGTGGGTAGAGTCGGAAATCTAGGAACATTGGAATCAATGAGCGACAGTATATTGTGTATAAAGGGCAGTTTTACTTTTTTGTCTTTTCCTATATATTTTATTAACATCGCTTAGTAGTAATTGCGTTAAAATAGTTCCGATACCCAAAGTTTCGCCCTAGAATGTGGATAATATTACTTTAATATCTGTGATGGATGTGTGTGCTAGTGTGTGTGTGGGTGTGTGTATGTGGGCGTGTGTATGTGTGCGTGTGAACTCTAATCAATTATTTGTGATATGGATTTTGTTAGACACATGTAAAATATCAAATAATGAACTCGCGTGTCATGTACTCAACACGACTGTAAGCCTGTCATAGTATTTACAAACAGAAAAATAATGAAAAGAAAAACAAACAGAAAGACAACTGTATAAAATTGCAATCATTCATTTTTATTTATATCAAAAGAGAAGTGTAAAGTTGATAAAATAATTGTGGCGTTTTTTAAATAAAAATGTTTGATGTTCATGTAAATATTTTTGTTCTATGATGTAATTTTCCAAAAGAGTTGATGTGAATTATTAAGTTATCTTATGCTAACCAATGAGAATACATTACAGAGCTTGGTCCTCGGACATATGTTCAGGTTGAGGCGTGTGTTTATCAACTTCGGCTTCGATGGACATAATCTCAGCAAGCAACGCATTTCCTCGGCGTCGTAACACTTCCATGTAGATTCCTGCTGTAAAAAACAATTAAGACAACAAAAAATAATGTATAATATAGTCTTGGATTATGTAAACTAATATTTTAATTATACAAGTGAAATTTGACTTACCACAGAACGTTAGCGTGACGTAGACGACCAGGCCAATTTCAACGGTGGTGCGTGCCAAGCAAATCTCGGAGGGGCCACAGGTTTTTTGGCAGTTATTTTCCTGCTCACGTTTTTCTTTTTCCTCCCTTAACGGACGTGTGTATTGTTCAAACAACTCTGGATACTCAGCTTTATATCTTTCACACTGATCGTCCGTTGGTGGAACTTCTGCGGCGGTTGTTGTTGAAGTTGAAGAAAATAAAACTAGGACTAAAAAAATCTGGAATATAAATATTAAACGTTAGCCAGCCAGCCATCCACCCAACGTCCACGCCATCTACACACCCAACCTCCTACATTACCTCCCAGTCACCCACCCACCTAACTTTCCACCCACCACCCATTCACCCCATTCATTCTATCCGCCCATCCGTCCGTTCATCCATTCATCCGTTCATCCATTTGTCCGTCCGTCCGTCCATCCGTCCGTCTATTCGTCCACCCGTCCATTCGTCCATCCGTCCATTCGTCCGTCCATCCGTCTATCCGTCCACCCGTCCGTCAATTCGTCCGTCCGTCCGCCCATCAGTCCGTCCGTCCGTCCGTCCATCAGTCCGTCCATCCGTCCATTCGTCGGTCCACCCGTCCAATCGTCCGTCCGTCCGTCCATCCATCCGTCCGTCCGTACATCCGTCCATCCGTCCATTCGTCCGACCGTCGGTCCATCAGTCCGTCCGTCCGTCCATCAGTCCGTCCGTCCGTCCATCAGTCCGTCCGTCCGTCTGTCCATCCGTCCATTCGTCCGTCCATCCGTCCATTCGTCCGTCCATCAATCCATCCGTCCGTCCGTCCATCCATTCGTTCAACCAACCATCTATGAATTGCATGCATACCTTCAAAACTTTGTTTTGGCTCCATGGAAGAAACAAAATGCCCAAGGGCCATGCTATGAGATATTACAGGTCAAATGTAAATGGCAAGCAAGTAAAGCACAACCATAAATATGTATATGTATATGTTATTGTATATATAAATGTCAATGTATATTGTACGTTTACTTGTCCCTATATATATATATATATATATATATATATATATATATATATATTGATTTATTATATTTAACTGATGTTTATATAGTGATATGAATAAACAGACAGTGTATATTTATAGTACCTTTCATAATCGCTCTTTCTTTATTAACAAAACCATCGCAGTCGTTATCTAACCCATCGTTGATGCGAGTAATTGATCCCTCAGAGTTCTGTAAAAAAATGTAAATTGATCTGAAACCGTGTATCGAATATTCTGTCGGTAACGGCTCAATCTTTACTCGGTCAAGTGTTTGTGCCAGAATCTCTACAGTGGGAGCTAATAACTGACACACATCCAATTAAAAGATATTCTAATTGTATTAATTAAATACACAACTCTAGATACTTATAATCACTCTACTTCTACTATGACACTTACATCCTAGCTAGTCTATGCTAGTCTACTTCAGCTATCTAGTCACGATATTTATGCCTAACTGCTTACATACCTGATGTATGTTCACACGCTTGACCGACCACACACCCCCCCCCCCCCACTAACACTAGTGTTGATCAGCTGACCATCACACGTGACCTTTCTAATTTGTCGGGCAATTTGATTGGTACTGCTTGACCAATGCCTAACTGACCTATAATATTATACCTCTCTTCTGTCTTGGATTATTTTGAGTAATGCCTAGCTCGCGTCATTAAAGTCTGCTATTGTTTATTTATTTTCTTTTTTTTTTTCACTCTTACATGCAAATTGAGCTTTCTATGTTACATATAAGCAGAGCTTTCTCTCTTACATGTAATCAGAGCGTTCTATCTTACATACAAACACAGCTTTCTATCTTACATGCAAGCAGAGCTTTCAATCTTACATACAAACAGAGCTTTCTATCTTACATGCAAGCAGAGCTTTCTATCTTACATGCAAGCAGAGCTCTCTGTCTTACATGCAAGCAGAGCTTTCTATCTTACATGTAATCAGAGCGTTCTATCTTACATACAAACAGAGCTTTCTATCTTACATGCAAGCAGAGCTTTCTATCTTACATACAAGCAGAGCTTTCTATCTTACATACAACCATAGCTTTCTATCTTACATACAAGCAGAGCTTTTTATCTTACATGTAATCAGAGCTTTCTATCTTACATACAACCATAGCTTTCTTATCTTACATGCAATCAGAGCTTTCTATCTTACATACAATCAGAGCTTTCTATCTTACACACAAGCAGATTCTGTTTAAACCTGTATTTAAATCACGAGGACAACAACAGGATAATGAATACAACATCTTTCTTCATCCCGCTAAATTTAGCTCCCATCCACCCACCCTAAACGTAGCTCTATTCTTGTTTTCTCTCTCTGGCTGAGGGTGGTCACTACTACAAACACGTCGAGGTGACTGATATTTATAAAATAGACAAAATGTATAATGACTACAAAGACAAAATACATATTTATAAAAACGACAAAATACATGAGATTTACAAAATCGACAAAATACATATTTTCAAAAACGACAAAATGCATGACATTTACAAAAACGACAAAATACATGATAGTTACAAAGACGACAAGTTAATGCATATATTAAAGATTAAATCGACATAAGATAAAGACAGCAAACAGGCTAATATGATAAAGACAGAAAATAGGCTTATGAGATAAAGACAGTAAATACCCTTTGAAGATAAAGACTGCTAATAGCTTATAATATAAAGAAAGCAAATAGGCTTATAAGATAACGACAGCAAATAGGTTTATAAGATAACGACAGCAAATAGTCTTATAAGATAACAACAGCATATAGGCTTATAAGATAACGACAGCAAAAAGGCTTATAAGATAATGACCACAAATAGGCTTCTATGTGCGAGAAGACAAATTGATAATATGCTAAAGAAGAACAATAGAAATAAAGGCGAGGGCTACAGGGCGAACATGGGAGCAAATATTGAGAGCTGCCCAAAACCTAATCATGTCGGGACGTGGTCTGCAGCCCAGTGGCGTAGGCAGGGGGGTCATAGCACCCACATAGACCCCTTGGTATATATATAAAGCATTAGGGGGGTGCTATTCGAAAGTTTGAGGGGGGAGGGTGCAAATCGAAAGTTTGAGGTAGGTGCAAATCGAAAGTTTGAGGGGGGTGCAAATCGAAAAATTTGAACCCCCCCCCATGAGACAATCCTGGCTACGCTACTGCTGCAGCCCTTTGTTCCTGGGGGGGGGGGGGTCTAGAGAGAATTAGTAGAAGAAAGTTTAAGGAAACCAAGAGAACTGAAAAGGTATAAATACAACCAAATCTTTTTAGTGCTTTGACAAAAAACGACCAGATGACGTAAATGACAAAGAAAACGGACTGATATAAATATTTTGACAAATTTGATTATATAACAAAGGCGACAATATAAACTCAATACATCTTTAGAAAGCCGACAAAGCACGTTGATGATTTAATGAAGCCTGCGGAATATAATTGTTTTTCGCATTGATAATCGATGGTAACCGGTAGGAGTCCAATGAAGTAAGTGATGCAGGAATACTTTTACCCCAGTGAAGTCAGTAATACAAAAGCCTGCGGATACTCACCAGTGCTGGGTTGGTTCAGCGTGTCTTGTAGACAAGCCAGATACCAATTAGTGCTGGGTTAACTCAGATCAGAGCGTCTTACAGACATGCCAGATACTCTTAGGTGCTGGGTTAGCTCAGCGCGATTATAGACATACCTGATACTCTTTAGAGCTGGGTTTGCTCAGAGCATCTTATAGACATTCCAGATACTCTGAGTGCTGGATTGGCTCAGCTCAGATCGTCTCATAGACATGCCAGCTACTCATTAGAGCTGGGTTGGCTCAGCGTGTCTTATAGACATGCCAGATACTCAAGCTCAACAACTCACCTATTGAATGTAGTGAAGCTGAACAACGTACCTAGTTAATTTAGTGACGCTCAACAACCCACCTGACGAGTGTAAGGAAGCTCAACAACTCACCTCCAAAACACGTCCAACAGCAACGTTTATCACCTGTGTTTCTTCGTTAATAGTAACAGGTATAACAAACTGTTTTTCCCCAGTTCTTGAGGGGATAAGCATTTCTGAAACATCAGTTAAATAAGTAATTTTAATTTTAATTATATATATATATATATATATATATATATATATATATATATATATATATATATATATAAATAAATGTGTGTGTATGTGTGTGTATATTTGTGTATGTTACCTGCCGTTACGCCGCCAGCGGTCTTGACATTCTTTCTCTGACATTCTGATTCAAATTCGTATTCTTCGCAAGTGCCAACAATAACGCCAAACGAATACAACGCTGTTATTTTAGCTGGTGTGATTGCTAAGAAGAAAGTAGGTCAACTTTGTTAGTTGTCTGGGGTATGACTGTCCACGAGGTAAAAAAAATGCACATCTCATCATAGATCTAGTAAGATTACTACACATAGATGCACAACAAGAACAATATGTTGATGTAGTCGTGTTTATCAATGTCACGTAATGAAATATTACAGCGACGTACGCTAATCTCATTCGCGAACAAAAATGTCCGTAACAGGAACAATTAAAAGTCAGCTAAATCAAATCACAATCTTGCACACAAAAATAAGTAAATAAGTCATTTGCCTGCATTACACCTACATTTTACACATTGTACTCACACTACCATCAAAGAATTAAATTTCCCGTGAAGTACTCACCTCCGAGATGCTTCTCTCCGACTGTTCTTCTAGTACAGTTCTGCATGATGTACGCCTCCTTCCTGGTTGGGAAATTCAAATTTCAGTCTTTTATCCCGAGTTTTAAAAAACGACACAAATAATTTCAGATTGATAACTACTTAATCAATAACAACTGACTACACAATCTTAAATGGGTCAACATGTGTCAAAACATTTAAAGAAAGAAAGGTTGAGTGGACTAGTTGTAATACATTTAATCAAATCGTCTGGTTTTAATACAGATTTGAATTAAGTTTAAAAGTTTTAAATTAAAACACCAATATTTTTTTTTCAAATCGTGATTAGATTAAACTATAGAATCTAACTAATCCAAGCGATCTGATCTAGAGCTCTACAAATGGCCGAGAAAATTACTCGTGATTAGATTAAACTATAGAATTTAACTAATCCAAGCGATCTGATCTAGAGCTCTACAAATGGCCGAGAAAATGACTCGTGATTAGATTAAACTATAGAATCTAACTAATCCAAGCGATCTGATCTAGAGCTCTACAAATGGCCGAGAAAATAAATCGCGTCACTCAAGTATATTCTGCTGACTTGGACAACTTTTAAATGTTTCTCGGATCATGAGCGGAGCAGTAGGCACTAAAGTTAGCTACCCACCTATTGGGTAGGCACCAAAGTTAGCTACCCACCTATTGGGTAGGCACCAAAGTTAGCTACCCACCTATTGGGTAGGCACCAAAGTTAGCTACCCACCTATTGGGTAGACACCAAAGTTAGCTACCCACCTATTGGGTAGACACCAAAGTTAGCTACCCACCTATTGGGTAGGCACCAAAGTTACCTACCCACCTATTTGGCAGGCACCAAAGTTAGCTACCCACCTATTGGGTAGGCACCAAAGTTAGCTACCCACCTATTGGGCAGGCAACAAAGTTAGCTACTCACCTATTGAGTGCAATAGTAGAGAGTAATCCCTCAGTGAATTGGCTTTGTAGCTGCTCAATGTGTTCTGCATAATGTACGCTGATTTCATTTTCCTCAACTGAAGAAATGAGTACAATCGAGGGCCCCGTCCTGTTAGAAATGAACACCAGTTAACGTTGTCGTAAATCATTTGAGTATGTGATACAGAATGGGGATGGTAGGGTGTGAAACGTAGGGGTGGGGATGTCAGGGTATAAAACGTGAGGGGGTCGGGATTTTAGAGTCTGTAGAGTAGGGGCGCCCATTCTCGGCCATTTGTAGAGCTCTAGATCAGATCGCTTGGATTAGTTAGATTCTATAGTTTAATCTAATCACGAGTCATTTTCTCGGCCATTTGTAGAGCTCTAGATCAGATCGCTTGGATTAGTTAGATTCTATAGTTTAATCTAATCACGAGTAATTTTCTCGGCCATTTGTAGAGCTCTATGAATAGAAATTAGCATGTGCTTAAAAGCCTTTGGTTATTTTAGACTACTAAAAGGGTGGTGATAGGCCTAATAGATTTATTTTAAAAAGAACTCGAATACAGATAATGCAACATAAAATGTTTCACAAATAAAATATATGGTTCTAATTTAAAATAGCGTTCATATATTAACGATAAAAAACCTTGCGAACAATATAACCAGTGATGACTTGAATATATGCGTGATGAATAATCAAAGCTCCAATGATCAAAGCCACTATGGTCAAGGCACTAATGATCAAAGCCACTATGGTCAAGGCACTAATGATCAAAGCCACTATGGTCAGAGAACATATGTGTAAAGCCACTATGGTAAGAGAACATATGTGTAAAGGTTCTCGTATCTCGTACCAATAAAATGTTTCTCACTATTCTTAAAACAATTCTGTATTTCAATATTGTTTTAAAAAATTAAATTTTATATCAATAAAAAAAAATCAGACCGAAGTTTAAAGTTGTCTGAATAAACCCTGATTAAAAAATTCGTCTGTTACATTGATACATGGCCAATTCATACCGTGAACAAATTATTGTGTGACGAAACAAGACAAGACTTACTTTGGTGCCAGAACATAGTACTCCGCGCCGAAACCGGAAGTTGGTATGGCCTGGAAACTAGCAGCCGAGTGGAACGACACCGGCATAAACACCGTCATCCCAAACTGGAACTTTCCTTTGGCGACAATAGACGTGGTGGTGTCACTTCTTGATATCCTCTCAGAAACGGGGTGGTCCGATAGTGGAGCGGTGACATAAACATCAAACGTGTCGAGCATGGGTGAGTTCATCATAAGAATGGGTTGGCCTTCAGGCATGTATGGGAACTGTACCTGAAATTCTACTCCCATTTGTGAAGCTTGCCCTGTAGTGGGGGAAAATGTGGAGCTTGTGAACGTATCATATTTGAACTATTTTTAGTTATAGTTTATTCACTGTCATTGGCCAACGCTGCAGCTGAGATCTATAATTCCTTGATCTGTTAGAAACTCAAAACTAGCGAACATTAGAGAATATAGGATGGAATCTACTGTGGAAATTCAGCGAGTAACGACAGACATACAAACACACACACACATACATAAACACACAAACACCCATACCACACACACACACGCATATATATATATATATATATATATATATATATATTTATACATATATATCAATACATATGCTTTTACACATACAATCAGGCAGACCGATGCTACAGAACAATACGCTCTCATTTGCCATTATTAATATTAGTTGGACCGTGTTTAGCAAACTCTTGAGGTCTGCATTGTTTGCGGCCACTAATGTTTGTTTGACCAATCCATTAATATTAGTTGGGCCGTGTTTAGTAAACTCTTGAGGTCTGCATTGTTTGCGGCCACTAATGTTTGTTTGACCAATCCATTAATATTAGTTGGGCCGTGTTTAGTAAACTCTTGAGGTCTGCATTGTTTACGGCCACTAATGTTTGTTTGACCAATCTTCACGTGCATCTGTGCTTTAGTTGTTAAGTCATTTAGGTTATGGCGAAAGGGTTATGATGCTTATTTGTTACGATATTAGGTCAGTTTTACATATAGATCTACTAAAGTACGGATTCTAGGTTGATGCTAACTGCAAACCGGATGTGACGATTTCTGATGTCTACAAGTACAAAGATATAGATTTATGGGTCTAGAGTTCAGACAGATTTACCTTCAACCTTCGAGATTAATCCCAAGCACACAAGAGCCAAAATGTTGATCATCCTTAAAAAATGTGTAGGAGCCATAAAACTGCTTGCTCGTATGCTCGATGTACACAATAAATGATTAGCCTTCACACCCTGGTACAAAACTTCAGGCAGTCGGCCGGAATGGGCAACATGTTTAGGTGCTGAAGGTTACACATGGATATCAGTATCCTAGCAGGGTGGGTCTGTTCAAAGCTCGTGTAAACCAGCGCCTAGTGAGTTTCTGTTTTCTCTGTTTGCTTTTGCGCACCAAGTCTTTTTATGTATTGTTTCGGAGTTTTTTTCACGCCGCAGTCAATGACGTCATTAGTTGAAAAATTTCGAGAAAAGAAAATAATACTTGGTTTGAATATAGATCTATATAAACATAAAAAACGGGAGTGATCTCCCCTAAACTTTCTCGAATATTCTAATATAATGGCAACTCGGGATATAGACATGATTTTAATCAATTTTTAATTACTTAAACTTTTTAAAATAGAATAGAATCTCGTAGAAATAAGTATTGCGCACCAAGTAAACGGCAAGTGTGTAGCTTTTGTAATGCGGGTGATGAAGGGGGTGGGGGGGGGGGGGATATGCTGTTACGTAGGCAAGTCTTCCATCAACGTTTGGTATGAGCTGGTTTAGTTGTATAGAATGAGAGTGCGTGTTATTGTCTGGGTTTAGAAAGGAATTTAAGAATAACTGGTTAATGAGGGGTGTTTGCAGAACATATATCAATCGCTTAAGTAACATTCGTCTTTATTTATTTTGGTAATACATCATCATCATCAGTATATAATATAGTATTTCAACACAAGGGTGGGGTCATGCGGACGAAGGAGATGCAGTTATGGGGGCAATATGATATGGGGTTCCAGGGTTGCGGGGGCGGGGAGGGTGTGATGAAAAGGGAGGTGTCGGTTAGGATTGGGCGGGCCAGGCGACCAGAGCAAAGTGATATGTTCTTCACGTTGTGTTGTTGCTAATTATGGTATATGTCTTTCAGTGGCGTAGCGAGGTCCGATATCACCCGGTGCGGCACTTAATGGTGTCACCCCACCCCCCCCCCCAGAGGCGTAGCGACCCTACCCGGGGACAAATTCTCAAATTTCGATTTCGCACCCCCCCCCCCCCCCCCCCCGCTTAAACTTTCGATTTGCAGCTCTTAAAATCTTAAAAGACTATTTGACACTCGAATTAATCCCTTATTTATTAAGTGGAATTATCATTTTATCATATGTTGCTATTTTTTGCCTTTGTGTCACCCCCCTAAATGGTGTCACCCGGTGCAGTCCGCACCCCCCCCCCCCCCCACGCGCTACACCTCTGATGTATTTGAATACTGTCGTTGTCAAGTCGTCTACGATAAATCAAATCTAGTATCTGTCCCAAGAACTGTACCTTATCGTGTTTTGCTCTTATTCTACTGTTCCAAATAGTCTGTCTATATATAGATACCGTCGGCTTATATATATATATATATATATATATATTTATATATATATATATATATATATATATATATATATATATATATATATATACATATATATATATAATACATATATATATATATATATATATATATATATACATATATATATATATATATATATATATATATATATATATATATATGTACATACATATATATATATATATATATATATATATATATATATATATATATATATATATATATATATATATATATATATATATATATATATATATATATATAAGCCGACACACACACACATATAACGGGTCAGTATTTTTTTTTGCTCTAACAAATAAAACATTTATTACAAACTTAAAAAATTTAATATGATATTAACGTATGATAATTATAATGAAGCTGTTCACAGACGAAAATAATCATCCAATGAATTTAAATATACAATGAACATTCACACAAATAATTCATCTAGTTACATTCACAATATACTTTTACTCTTTTTGTCTAGCGAATTACATCAAATGTGGAGCAGAAACAACACTATCACCCATTCATTGAAAAAACAAAACTCAGTCATCCACAGCTGGCTGCCAGAAAGCCATATTTTGACATGCAGAAGCCATCTTCATGTATTTTGGATTAAACTGAATACACTGAATTGGTCCAGGGTGGTCTGATTGTAAAATAGCCATTTTGACTCCAGACTCTGTACTCCAACAATGAACCTTCCCATCCGTTGATCCAGAGAAAACATATCTAGCATCAGGAGTAAATGAAGCTTCCAGTGGAATCCCTTTGTGATTTGTAAAGCCCATAAATGCCTGAAGTGGGGTGCCTTGAAATGCATCAATAAGACGAATAACATTTCCATTTGTTGAAATTAAAATCATTTTTCCAACAGGGCTAAATTTAAGACCAGTCCAATCGCATTCTTTATCTTGTGGAAGCTTAAATGTTGTAAATGGTCCTTTATCAATTGACCTTAAATCATACAGCTTCACACTCTCAGAGTTAACACCTGCTGCAAAAATAAGCCCTTCAGGATCAAAGGCTGCAACAGGGCGACCGGACAAGTGCATCAATCCCTGGCAGTAGCGTAGCGAGGGGGGGGGACATATGTCCCCGGGCGCCGACCTTAGGGGGGGGGCGCCAAATTGAAAGTTTGAGGGGGGGGGGGTGCAAATGAAAAGTTCGAGGGGGGTGCAAATCGAAAATTTGCTCCCAAGGGGGCGCCAAATTGAAAGTATGTCCCCGGGCGCCGGGAAGGGTCGCTACGCCTCTGATCCCTGGCAATTTTGAGACCTTAAATCCCACAGTCTGATTGTTTTATCCATTGAGCCAGATATAAAAGCATCATCTATTGGTGACATGCATAATGTGACAACTTTTTTTGTATGTCCTGGGAAGTAGCGAATATGCTTATTGTCGTGCAAGGAAAGATATCTGATAGTATCATCCACTTTAGTTGAACAGTGCAAAGCTGTATTCTGTGCATGTGTATAACGAATTAAATCCACTCCATATTTTTTACTGTTAAGTTTTCTTTTAGGCGTTCCATTCAGGCAATCGTAAATAACAATAGAATCATCATCACTACTTGTAATCAACGTTTCACCATTCGCAGAAAAATTCAAACTACTTATTCTATCAGTATTTTCTCTAAATATTTTTGCAACGCGCAGATTTCTAACAACGTCGTCTACTAGCTTCATTTTTTTTCCGTTAGGATTCCTTCATTATCCTTTTCCGTACTGTCTAAACACCAAAAACACAGAAACAGTTTATTCTGTTGATTATTTATCTCAAGACAAGTGATTCAGCAAACTACTAAAGTCAGTTATATTATTAATGCTTTTTGTTTATGGCAATATATACATCTGTCTTTAATTTGAATAAATATACATATATATATAAAAAAATTAAATACAGTTATATGCAATTTGTATTTTAATTTTTTACGTACATGTTATTATATTGTAAAATAATATTTATGAAATTATTTTTTTTTTGTTCGTTAGATAGATTTTTATTTATTTTAATATATTTTAGAAGATTTTGCGAGTAGTTTCCCTTTTAAAATTGTGTTCATATTGTTTTGAAAAATGGGGATAAATCTAAAAACATATTATTTTTTTGTATTGGTGTAGCAAAGACTATCAGCAACTGGTGGAACTTTCATTCGGCCAGAACCCGCTATAGGGGTGGGGGTGGAGGGGGAGAGCCAGGCCGTTTGGGGGAGCCAGAATCCGAGAAAAACCACATCATATGTACTACGATGGTGATCGATCTAATGTAACTACCATACAGAGTTGCATAGACAATAAATCTACATAAGCTGTGACAGTTAGATAAACCTCAAGACACTTCCATGACTTATTGCCCTTCTTAAATTAATCTTAAATTAATCCAATAGAGGTGCCTAAAAAGCTCGTTTTAATAATTTCGTACTAAGAAAATTAAAAAAAGTGATTTCTTCTCTTAATTATACTAAAAATAAGGCTTATTATGCAGTATGGCTAATCTGTTTCAATAGCCCGTACATTGTGGCCAGCATAAAGCCAAGCCACATCATCACAAAGGTTGCACAAAACCACATCAATTCATTATTAAATTGCTCTGAATTAAAATTATTTCAACTTGAATTCGTAGAAAACAATATGAAGAAGTTAACGAAATACTGTCAGACACTTTGTGATTTGAGTTTAATTACATCTTGTTCAATGTGCTTTTATTCGTTCTATGTATAGTTTTCTAAAATATGTTTTGTATTCAAAATATATTTTGTGGGGTTGTTCTAGTTTATATTTACTATACAATAGAGGTACAAAATTGTGATTATTATTGAGTTTGTTTAAAAATTTTAATTAGTGGCTTTCTTTTGTCGACATGTAATCGGGTATCGTGTATTTATTAATGACATAACGAGACTAACATTCTATAGTCTACAGTTGTGTTTAAAAATGGCTTGGGTTTCATAATCATTTCATTTCTTATTCAATTATTCATAAACATTTGTTTTTATTTTAAGTTTGAAACTCAGCTAAATGATTTTAGTAAACTATCATCAAATTTTAAGGCATCTTGAGTAAGAACTTAACTTTACTTCTCTGTCCTTTGAATTGTTTTTTAAAACAATACTTTTAATAAAGGCCCGTTTTCATTAAATTATTTTAAACATTTTACTGATTAGTCACTTTTGTCAATAATACAGGTGTAAGACAGAACCAAGGCATGGATGTAGAACCCTGGCTCATCTGTTGAGAGCTACCTGAATATCTGTAGTCTACTGGAGACAGCAGTGGATTCGCTTTTACAGAAGGCTGATTGTTTTTCTGGTGATTCATAGAAATTCATTCTTTACGTTTGATAAATAATCTAATATAGGTCAGCATATATAATATAGTCAGCCTCTAAAATTAAACTTAATCCGAATATCTTACTGAAAAAAATAATTAAAAAAATAAATATATGTGTAGGGCATATATATATATATATATATATATATATATATATATATATATATATATATATATATATATATATATATATATATATATATATATATACATATATATATATATATACATATATATATATATATATATATATATATATATATATATATATATATATATATATATATATATATATATAATATATATATATATATATATATATATACGTATATATATATATATATATATATATATATATATATATATATATATATATATATATATATATATATATATATATATATATATATATATATATAATGTTTAGAGCAAATGTAGACGTGTTTGAGCGTATTCAGAAAATATGAAGAACTAACAGTCATATATTATATTATAAAAACAGCTACTCTCAGAGCTGGGGTATCTCTGACCAGACTGAGAGGAATGTGAAGAGTGGCAAGCAGAAAATAAAATTAAAAAAAAACTACATGGAGACAATCTTGAGGCTGAAACCATGAGTCAGGTTGATAAGGTGGCACAGGACACAGGATTCTGATTTTTGGTTGGCGGCCAATACACCTGCAGGAAAGAGAACTCTGAAGATCTTTAGTTGGCGGCCAATACCCCTGCAGGAAAGAGAACACTGAAAATCTTTAGATGGCGGCCAATACACCTGCAGGAAAGAGAACACTGAAAATCTTTAGATGGCGGCCAATACCCCTGCAGGAAAGAGAACACTGAAAATCTTTAGATGGCGGCCAATACCCCTGCAGGAAAGAGAACTCTGAAGATCTTTAGATGGCGGCACATAGGCTACCTTATCAGGGGTGACATGCCTGAAGACAACCCAACTTTAAAAAGCATGGTCGACCTCAACTACCCCAGACATAGCTTTGGCTACAAACGACATATTTAAAAATAAAAAAAAACCAAAGATCAATCTTATCTAATCTAAGGGCTTGAAAGTCGGTCTCTCTCACTTAATATTCGAAATCTCGTTAGCCAGGGATAGATGCAACTTTTCCAACCAAATTTATTTTTGCGAACTTTATTCACACAACGGCTATTTGTTTCAAGATTTTAAAACACCAACATTATTTTAAAAAAAAACAATTATAAACAATTATATAATAACCTAACAATTATAACCTAGGTTATTAATATTAAATTGATACTGTAAAAAGCAGGATAAACTAATCAAGATGATTAGTTTGCTGAAAGAAAAATAAATACACTTTAACAAACATCACGTATAAATGGCTTTATTTTTATTAAAACAAATTTCTTTCAGAACAGAGCTAAACAGACAATGCGGGAGACACATACATTTGTGTAACACTGTTCATTTTCGTTTCTCTAAACAGTGAAACCAAGGAATAGACAAATTTGGAATAAACCATGAATATTCTCTACCTCTTGGTTGATGATGGTGCTGGTAAAACAGTTTTTAAACTATTTTTTCTTTACTTTTTGCTGTAAGATTTTCGACCACAACGTACGAGAGACTTGTAAGTCTCGGCAAACTTGGAGCTCATCGTGATGTAGATGAAGAAGTTGACGCTCGCGTTGACCTGGTACATCGCAGGGGCAAGGAGCGAAACCAAGCGGTAAAAATTATTGGACAGCTCCTTTAGGTAATACGCCAGGTAACTGTGTAGGACGTGCACAGGCACCAACACCATGAAGCTGACAAGACAAACAACCAACAACATCTTTACGACTTTTATTTCCTTTTTCAGTCTGGATGTTTTGTTTGAGAGTTCGTTAGTTTTTATGCGATTAAGCTGAAAAATAATCAGAGTTGAACTGATAAAGATTAAGACGATCGGCACTGTGGTTGTCGTGTTGTTTACAAAATAATTCACATAGTCTGTTATAACTTGAAAATTGTTGATATAAAAATCTGTTGCTGTCAGCACGGCAACGGTCTTACTCACAGTTGGAATAAACTCCCATCTATATCTTAAACTGTAGTAGTACGGACAAATAGGTACAGACCCGAACAGATATAAACCAAGCAGCATCCATTTGGCTCTGTAGGGTGTGAATATACGAGATACATGAAAGGGAAATAACACGGCGATAGCTCTTTCGATTCCTATAGCTGTGACGAGGAAAATTGTGATGATAAAGCTCATGGAGTTGGGCATTCGAAGGACCAACTCTATAAAAGTTAGATACGTTTTAGCGAAATACGGATCAATAAGTTCAATCAGACTAGCTACATGAAAGAAAATCGACGTGAAAGAATAAAAGAGATCTAGTGAAGACAGAGACAGCAGCATTATGTTGGTGGTTTCCTTCAGGTTGTGTTGTGACAAGACCAGCAGGTTTAAAATGTTGACCACAACTCCCAGGACACTCAGCGGTATGCCTAAAGCAACGTTAAAAAATAATTCCAGAATCCACATGTGGTAGTCGTCGATGGGCAATAACGTGTACTTCTCCATGATTAAGAAACTTTAATACAGTTCACAATAAACCACTCAATTCTACCTAAAACAATATATATTTATATATGTATATATAACTTTTTATCGATTAAGATTAACCTATTCGTAGATTATGCAGCACTTTCCTCCCTCTTACCCCAGTCGTCCCCTCCCCCACCCAGACACGTTCATACCCTTGGCTAAAAACCAAGATGTAGTAAATATTTAGCTCTATTATCAATTTCGTGGTCGCGGCCAGGATAATTTTATGTCATCTCATTTATTTTCCGAAACGCTGAAGAATTCCGGTAGACAAATAACCGCTTCAGAATTGTGTACAATAACAATTAGCAAATCAAGATTGAGTGAGGTTTGAGAAATAATACCGACGAAGATATTGAATACTTAAAATGTTGAATTGAGTTGTAAGTACCCATATACCATCCTACCGGTTTTACATTAAATACAACTCCCAGTCGTGTATCTGTTGCCGTTGATGCCTCGGGGTTACTTTTATTTTTTACGATAAAAATGTATTGATAATTGCGACATTTTAAAACAACAACTTGTCAGCTTCAAGATATCATCGACACCTTTGTGTGGAAGAAAATGTGTAGTTTTTGTTAATCGCTTTATGTCGAGGTGTAGGCTAGTTAGAAAGTGCAATAACAATCTATGTGTTTTAGACCCAGAATAAAAAAAAAAGAAAATGCTTCAACATCGTGGCAACATAAAGTTGTCCAGCCAGTCTTTGCGCCGCAGACAATCTTTGGATTTTCCATATTAAGTTAAAAATAAAATGCTATCATCTTAGGCCAACAAATTTGATATGACAATTTATCTACAATATTATTATTATAATTAATTATGGATTGTACTATTTTAGAATTTGGTCAAACCAGGCCATGACAGGGAAGAGACCAATGACGAACAAGGCATACCAACAACCAACGCAGAAACACAAGGCACGGCTAGACACTTTCCTTCCATAAAAGAGTTACAAGATCAAGTTCAACAAAACACAGGTACGTTTTTTAATATACACACACAAACACACACACACACACACACACACACACACACACACACACACACACACACACACACACACACACACACACACACACACACACACACACACACACACACACACACACACACACACACACACACACACACACACACACACACACACACACACACACACACACACACACACACACACACACACACACACACACACACACACACACACACACACACACACACACACACACACACACACACACACACACACACACACACACACACACACACACACACACACACACACACACACACACACACACACACATATATATACACCATATGATTTTACTAAACTATTTTATTTTATTTTAACAATGTACAATTGATAAATTAGTACACCTGACTAAAACGCTAATGTTGGTTTTATTATGCTTTTATCATTTATAAGATCGTTGTTCCCAGTTGTTGAACAGAATTATCAAAACGGAAAGTGATATCTCAACACTTAAAACAAAAACAAAGAATATTGAACCCAAACAAAATGAAACAGATAACAAATGTGAAGAAATGGCGATACAGCAGCAAAATGATTGCAGAAAGTTGGAATCAGAGATATCTGAAAAAATAAAAACCATGCAGAACCAAATAAAGCAACAAGAAAAAAAATTAGATGATATTATAAAATCTTGTTCAGGATTTGAGGAACAAACATACATTGATGTATCTGATATAAAGAATCACCTAGACGTACTTACACAAAGTGTATTTGGGAAAGAATTATACATGCATGATTTCTCAGCAAAAGACATCAAGAACAGTGTTATACAAGTGTTGGAGAAAACAAGAGAAGATGTTAGAAAGATTGATACACAAACCAACGAAGTGGCTACAGTTTGCTCTAATTTAAGGGAAACACTTGATGAACAATTTAGCAAGCTACATGTTAAGGTAACTAAATAAACTTTTATTTAGTAACAGTAAAACGGAGGCCTTTTTCACATTATAATAGAAACAATTGAGTAGTAAAGACAGGAGTAACAGTAGTAAAAAAATTCGAATAAAGAAATAATATTACATAGATATAATATAAAATAGGATATCGTAAGAATAATAGATGAATGAGGAATCTTGCAATAAGTCAGTTTAGGAGGTCGTAGTTTTGAATACATGTTCAGATTATTTTATTTTATTGGCAGTTTTTCCCACAAATTAGAACCAGATTAGGCGAAGCTATGTTTTTCAAAAAAAGTTGCTTATTTGTATATGAGATGAGCAAACTAAGACGACGATTTAATTTTGTGTTAAAAAAACCGGGAGTGATCTCCCCTAAACTTTCTCGAATATTCTTATATAAAACAACAGGGATGGGAACTCGGGCGACATGATTTTTAATCCATTTTAAATACTTAAAGTTTTAAAAATAGAATAAAATCTCGTAGACAAAAGAATTGCACATCAAGTGAACGCTAAATTAAAAAAGTGCATAATAGTGCGCAATATTATTAGTACTTTACTTTACGCAATAAACAATGGAAAATAACATAAAAAACTAATTTTGCAATATTTCAGAATAAAGATATCACGGACAAGCTAAAGGATATAGGTAATTATTTCACATTTAAAAACATTTAAACATTATCATTATAAAATTGACTTTTTAAAAGAGCTAAGTGTTTACAACACTTTTTTAGAAATACAAGTGTTACGGGCACAGTACTAAGTTTATGCACACATCTACCGGTCTGTTCGCGCATCTACCTACTCGATTGGTAATTGTCCAAAGAACTTAAAGCTAGAAGCATATTTCGCACATTAGCCGGTCTATGTGATGGTGTATTCACTAATCCAGTTTCGGAACATATTGCTTCTGCTTGTACAGAAATGATGGAGATAAATTCCGACTTTTTCGTTATTTCTCATTTCAAATGCAGGTACTTTGAAGTTTTCACGGTTTTATACGTCCCCACTTTATCGTATACGGAATATAAAGAAGGAATTGTAATACTATTAAAAACAAGTTATAAAGAATTACAGTAGAGTCAACTTATCCTTCGCAACTGAATCGACCCGCTGCAATTGGCCTACACAATCAGCACACACTAAATATCGGTATGAATATACTTCCATACTCCTCTAAGGCCCCAATGAAGGGGGACACTAAGAAAATGTTACCAGTAGATACTGAGGTTGACTGAATTCAAACACACATTAATCTGAAGTAACTAAAATTCTAGGCTCGAAAATAAAATACTAAACCTAGCACTACATACATCAACTTGCAAGCTGTCTAAACCAACATCGCTATAATTGGTAACCCACCTAAGAAAAGAAATCAAGTATACAAAACAAATTAAATCAGTGTATGAAAATCCGCCATACACAATATTCTAAACCATGTGGCCTTAATAAGACATCACAGCAAGGGATTCAGAATCACCATACAACTCACAGAGTAAAAAGAAAAATTAAATAGACGAATAACTCTAACACGCGAGGTGCCCACGACACATTCAGATTGCCTGGCTACATTTTCGATGTTCTGAGTAGGGGAAAGACCGACAATCATGCTCAAATCGTTAAAATAACCATACACAGTAAATTCCATTCAACTTCCGTTTCCGCACACTCAAAAAAAACAACAACAAACACCCGATACTAAAAATAAATATAAAACAAAACTAATCATTCACACGCCCACACATGTACATGTTAGAGTAGATAAGAAATTGTTTTCAAAATTTTCAAGGGTGTCTGCTAGCTTGTTGACAAATATATAATCTTAGAGAATTGTAATTTATAAACGTCGATTAATCGATCACACTCATACATTCATTCCCCCTATATGAAAAAAACAACGCATAGTCACGCAGAAACACACTTTATTATACGTATGCTTAACAATATAAACGGTAATATGTGCATTCAACAGAAACCCGTGTATGTAAGCCTTACATGTGTCAAATCCACCTGGCTAACAACACACCGGTAACTGCTGGATCGATTCTTTCTACATTTAAAGTTGTATGGGAATTTAACGGCAAACATTTTGATAAAAAAACTGGACAACTTGTGGCACCAGATGATGGCTTATATCTTGTTATAGTCACGTTAGAGGAGAATGCAGATAAACTCATTAAAGTTAGTGTGGTAAAGGGAGATAAGTTTAAAAAAGAAATTTTTGTAAAATCTACCAACACATCAGCATGTGGATCTACTATTGTTGACATGAAGAGAGGAGAAAAACTTTACTTTAAAGTGGATTTAGCTGACGAAGGAGCCATGCTACACTCACCCAGTGGGATGACTTTTGTTAGGCTGTAAAAATGTGCAGTTATGTAAACCAATAAATAATTTCCGTTAGACTGCTTTACGGTTTTAGATAATAGAGTTGTATATTGTTCTAGGCTTATTATTTGAATATATAGTTTACATGTAAACCAGAATCAGGATACCTCCAAGAGATTTTTTTTTTGTCGTGTATTGTTGTCAACACTTGTGACTCTCGACAGAACATACTCACGTATATACTAAAATGAAATGTATATTCACAAGTAGCTTTCAAATAGGTCGTGTAAAGCTGATACCAAACTGCCAGTTTTTGTAACCAAGCGATATTAAAGCTATTATTGAATACGCTACACACACAAAATTGCGTATAAGGTAAAAAAAGACATACGTCTCTCAAATAATGTATAATAATATTCTAAATTAAGATATAAATACGATTTTGAAAAAAAAATATTTTAGTAATAACTCCGCTCAACACAAGACGCAATGGAATAATGACTTTATTCTCATTTTGAATTCTGAAAAAAATATTACTTTTACAAGACAGATTTCTTCAAAACTTTTCACGTAGATCTAGAGTCGATTATATTGCATTGTGACATTAAATTTGGTTAAATTAGATGTTAAATTAACTTTTTAAAAATGCATTAACAAATTTCAATAACAGGCTTTTTATGTAATATATATATATATATATATATATATATATATATATATATATATATATATATATATATATATATATATATATATATATATATATATTAATAAAACTCGGGTTGTTCTACACGTTTGATTAGTTATTTTTTTGTTTGTTTGTCTGTTCATCTAGATAAGAGCATCTACACTATGTGTAGAACTGTAATATACGTTGTTATGACCGACCTCCGACAGCCAGTCAGGAAGCGGACGCCCCAGGTTCGTTTGGTATGGTACCGATAGAAGACGTTGTAACGGAATCTCAACAACTTGCCGTGAGCTCGTTAATGCAGTCTAGGGGTAAAACACGACAAATCGAAGAGACTCACACGACTTAAACTATGAATACCTTTTTAATGTATGTACAAGATAATGACACTAGGTAAGATCAAAATGTACAGATTCTCAGTGTAATATAAATAAACTCAACTCCAACTTACAGTTTGAGAAAAATCACAATATCACAACTGTGATAAATCATTACTACACACAACTGAATTGGCCTCATAATAATTACAACAAAAGACCAAGGAGAGACAATTTGCCTCTACAACAATAGAAATCCTTATACAGGTTAAACTATCACCGATAGTCAAAAAGGTGTAATACTACACCAGAACACAAATTCAGTAAACTACAACTAGTCACATAATTCCTTATGCAAAAGGTGAAATCATGTCACAAAATAACAATACTGCAAAATGGCGTACCTAACCACAGGCACACCTCTCCTGGTCCCTAGGTCAATCTGGCGGCCTCTGGACTTGAGAATCCCGTGATTAAATACAACTCAGAGTCAGGGGAAATAACTCAAAAGTCTTACGACTATTGGTTGAGGGTCAGTCAAGGATCCTCACGGTCGCAAGTCCATTGGTTGAGGTTCTGCCAGGGATTAAACTTACAATCACATGATGTGACAGCGTTCAGTTGACCGGGTTGTACCAGTGAACTGACAATTCTCCCAAGGACAAATACATAACCCAGGAGGTTAAATTTACATAAAGCAAAACAGACCTAAGTAGGTCACAACGTATATTTGTGGATAATGCTATACACAAAATATTTTAAAAGATACTTGATTTATTGATATATTCATTTGTAGAGAAACCCATTCATTATAAAAGTTTAGAACGATTACGTTATATTTGAAGCACAACTTATACCAATAAACTAGAATTATTGACAAACCAAACTGAAATTGGTAAAACGAAAAATAAAGTGTCATAAAAAACTTGCCATATCTGGGAAAACTTCGTAAAGTCATCAAAAAATGACCTCGAGTGAAATTCTCTTTATACGAGATATATATATATATATAAAAAATTGACGAACGTGCCCCCTAGTCTTTTGTGAGGTCGTAGACTGACCCTGGAGGGTAACAAAGAAACTTTATTCTCGTAAAAAAAAACTTGGGTTCGTTAGATTTGTTAAGATGCCTTATTTTCTTATAGAAACAATTGTTTGTCAAAAAAGTAAACAAAGACTACGTTATTTGGTCTATGTACAGGGTAGGTAACTTTTTAAAGTAATAATTTTAAAATATTTTTATACTAATTTAAAGAAAAAAACAAAAAACACCAACTATAGCATTCATTTAAATAAATATTTCGTTATAAATAAAGTTACCTATTGTAATGAAATTTCAAAAAATAATTGTGAAAGTGATTGTAATATAATAGTTGATTTATACTATTAAGGAAGTCTTTTATGTTCTAATGAACTTGCGAGTAATAAGTTTGGGTATACACCACCAGTGAATGCATGGCATGAAATTACTAAGACTGTTTAAACTTATGCCCTAAGCATTCCACATAACAGCTAATGAGCAATTAAATAATTATTCAAATTCTCATTTTTTTTAAAAACCTAAGCGAAGCTAGACAATATGTCTAATTCTTAGATAACTCAAGTGGGGTGGCAACTTAAGTGCAGGGAATATAGATATTTAAAAAAAATCACTTTTCAAATACTTACATTTTTTAATAGAATGGAATCTCATAGAAAAACGAATTGTGCACCAAATGAACAGCAAATAATCCTTTATAATAGTGCGGGAAATTGTTTAATTTGTAAAGTTCAAATCGACCCAGTGTCTCTAATTGAAATTATCTTTATGAAAGACTTGCATACATTAAAAAACTCCATTTGATTGCCTTGTTGTAATATTTTATAGTGTTTTTTTTTACTAATATCGAAATTGATGATTTTTAAAAAATCAGTATTGATTATTTTCGAACTAATTAGTCTTTTTACAATTTAGCGTTTAATTGACGCAATGTGCAAGTAATGTTTTGAACTTTTTTATGTAACTAAATAATAAAGGTTTATCTATGGACAGCGAGTTCATTTTTTTCTGTTTAACCACGCAAAACTAATGCACATATTAAGGGCATCTTTAAAAATTTAGCATTTCGTAGTTAAATATTTTAATTACAATATAAGCTATACAACAGAAAACAATATTTCTTTTCTACACAGCAAACATCCATAATATATCATTAATACCACAAAATAAACATGCATTGTATTGGCAGAAAGTGATGTTTTTACACTTGTTGTAATTTGTGCGAGTAGCTGTATTTTTATCACCCCACAACCTCTGGGCTTTGTGGAAGTGAAAGCCGTTAATGGAAAATCCCGCTATTAGATAATGACCTGATGTCTTAGTACAGGGAACACAACAACAAAAGGGCCGGAACTCTGGCTGATCTCATATGTACTGGCATAAGAGAAAGAACTAAGGTCTAAGGTAACACGTAGTATAATACTTTAATTCCCAAACACACAATCACACGATATATATCATAAAATTATTTCATTATGTTTAGTATTAGGTCTAGGAACTTGTTTAGATATGTACGTCAGTCTAGTTAAATGTAAGACCTAAAATGTTTCTGTTAGGTTCAAATTTAAGGAACTACTGGCAAAATATTATGTTACACTGACACGGGTATCATTGACAAAATGCTAAAACAATTTGTGGATATCATATAAACATCATGTTGTTCTCCTTAGATGCGTCCCAGAATTCAGATCAAACAAATAAGCAACCACTTGAAATACATAGAAGAACAAATACAATTTATTGAACCTGTCATCTACACGATGAAAAATGTAAGTTTTATCACGAAATTGTAATATTCATGCATTTAATTATACTTCATGTAAAAATAATTTACCATATTTTCAAATGTAAATCTAGGTAGTTGAAAAAAGTAAAACATGGATTAAAAACCAAAATAGCTTGACGTCCTTGGCCTACATTGAGCTACAGCAAGAACTAGACTCAGCATCTACAGCCTTGTTGGGTGTGTCGTCAGAGATTTTGAGTAAAATATTTTATTATCAAATAGGTCTACTACAATCACTTATTTGGAAAACAAATCGCATAGTGTTTTTTTTTATAAAACAATTAACAGCAGTATTCATTTTCAAGAATACAAAGTTTGAAATATGAGCTTCATAAATTAGTAATTAAATAACTATGCTAAATATTTATAGTAGAATCAAGGATCGAGAAAAAAAATTAGGTTTAAACTGTGCACTGAACGGGAGATTAAGGTATTTATTATATGGGGTTTGATTTAAAATTGCCTTACCAATATCTTTGTAAGAACACGTTAATCACATTATTTAACCATTTTATTTTTAAAATTAAGTGTCAATTTATGAATCTAAAGGTAATATATTCAAATTTTTATTTCACCAAGAACTAAACTACGATGACATAGATGAAAACGAACTATGTCTACACCAGTCTACCCAACATACAACAACAGAAACAACTACAACTGAATTAGCTGAACATTTTGGACCATTGTCTGGTAAAAAATATTTTTGTATAAAAGCAATCATTGACTAATATAATATTTACTAAAAATATGAATAAATTCAACATCACAACTTATGCACATGCATTTAAACATTGCAATTCCCATTCATTCCATTGCTCATTTTCTTAAAGACTATACATATATTAGCAGCATTTCATTTATATGTTTAACATATTTCAATAATAGTTCAGCATGCTGTCTCATTTTTGCTTGTTGATATATATATTATATTGTATAATACGTTTCTCTCGGGTTTCCGTGCATATTACACTTGGCAATTTTAAAACAATTCACTTTAATTTTTTTTATTTGCACTACTTAAAACAAAAACAAAAATGTATTCCGTAGGCATATGTAATTAAGGATGCACACAAGTAAATTAAACTCAAAATAGGCATGATGCTTCATAATTTTATAATGATTTTTGCATTTCCACATTTCGATCAAATTATTTAGTTATTAGTTGTTAGTGTTGTGTTTTCAGGAAATTGTATACATTTTAAAAATAACTTTAATGTTTTATTTCCATTAAACTCACAGTTCAAGTAAAATCAGATATAATAAGCAGACTACATCATATTGAAACAACTCTATTTTCATTTCAAGAAAAGAAGCAAAAGACATAA